GGTGTGGCCCCGGGGGGGGTCCGGGGTGGGGCATAAAACCCCATTTTTGGGGTTTAGCCCATGTGGTGCGCGCTTTCACTGCGCACCCCCCACTATTTTTTATTTTATTTTTTGATTTTATTTTTTATTTTTTTGAATTTTTTTTTGCGGGGGGGTCTGGAGCCGGGGTTGGGGGTGCCCACCCCCGGAACCCCGGAACCCCGCCGGGGCCCCGGGGCCGAGGCTCGACAACCCTGCCTGCAACCACCTCTTAATCTCGACTCATTTCCAACACGTCATTCGTGTGCAACGGTCAGACCACTCTACTATTGAAGACCACGGGATGGAAAAAGTGACAACAATGACGAGTTAGCTCAGACTAATGTCAACAACGAGGTCGTCGATGAACCGTGAGGTTGTCCTATGAGTACAGCAGCAAAGTGCGAACTAACTCGGAGTTGTGGAAATCCACAAACAGGAAGGCTCACATAGCAGGTCAAGGCGACTGGTGTCCATCCTCACAGTAAAGACAGTCGTAGATCTGTCCCCGCCTACCACCTACGAATTCCAATATTTGGACACCCGAACGATGATGCGAAACTTTTCGTAGAGTGTAGTCATTGCAATTGTCCTTGTGTTCCAACGTGAAGAATATCTCCTCACACAATCCGAAAAGGAAGTGAAGTTGGGCATGCACCAAACAGTCAACCCTTTGATTCAACTCTTTTGCGAGCGGAGGATCTATTTCGAATCGTTCACGGAAGCGCTTAAGAGCACTCGCGGACGCGGGCTCGCGAAAGTCTTCCCTTACAAGGAAGAAAACTCTCATTCGCTTACCACAAAGCTTGGCCGCTGTGAAAAGAGTCAGTACAGGGGTGCCACAGTTGAAAAGACGAACTCGACCATGGTAGTCTATGATCACAGGAAAACGCAACTGCAATACCATGTGCAAAGTTTACCATGCTGGTCGTCCATACAATCCCAGTCTTGTTCGAAGCGCAAGGATTCCCAGGAATCTACCATATCCTCGACGTCTACCTTCTCCTCCTGACTGGATGGGACTTCCCAACTCAAGTAGAGGTGCCACATATTTGATCCTCTATCATGAACTATTGTAGTTTGCCCATCAACAACACGTGTTTCGGGTGCAATGTAACCTTCAAGACCGACCCCAGCTTGATATGCAGATAATAGCTGTCAAGAGTGAGCGTTCCTCATGCCCAAATGCATTTGTTCATGATGATAAGAACAGTGTCCACATTGTCGATCGAAAAGGAATACTCGCTCGTGTACGACGAGGTTTCGTAGGGCATTGTCTCGTATACAACGTCTCATTCATCCTGCGGGACAAGAAATCATAATTAGTTCGCAGTTCACATCTCGTCATTATCTTTGCGGAGTTCGTAGCTACCAAAATCGAATCAGTTTGCATTTAACTAAACGGGTACGTCGGACGGGCCGGAAAGACAGTCATCCCCCAAGGCCACAAGCGCTTTCTCGCAAACGGATGTCGGTATTGTAAGGCCTATCACGAATTTGCTCTCATCCTTCCCTTTGCAAAAAGGTCTTCTCCAGGAATAAGCCACGGTTTCGGCGCGTTGCCATTGTTCCTCGTCCGAAGTGGAAAGTTTCCACCTTTTCGTCAAAGCGCCGGAGTACCTTTCGCGAAGATCGGAGGAGTGACCTGTAGGCACCCACCACTGTATGCATAAACAATCGAAATTATGCGAAGAACGGTCGTCCACAACCTCAGACTGTGCTCTGCCGGCCCAGAACGGGACACCTTGAGACAGTTCCTCATCAGGCGGCCTAACAATCAGAAAATCACCTTTGTTTATGTGGCGCCGAAGGTCGAAGTCCACTTTTGGATGGTCCGCCCTCGGTCCTACATATATTAGGGAAGCATCTTGCGAAGGAGGGTCAGTTTTTTGAACTTCCTCCACAGTTTCGACTGATTGTGGCCAGAAGGTGTGAGGGTAGATCTCGGGCTCGTCCGCCCCGAGGACATCCTCTTCCTCACCCTGTTCCATTTCTTCTTTTGCCTTTGGATCATATCGTCCGCCTCGACGAAGATGGCTTTCCAGTAAGACAAAGCATCCTCCCGCTTGTCGACCTCCTCCTTCCTATATGTCTGCCACATGTGTCTATGCTGTTCGAGGACGTCCATAAATTTTTGGACACTGTCACAAGCCATCCGAAAATCCTCTTTAACGACACGGGGAATAACACATGGTTGTGGAAGGGAGGTAGGGCCTGTATACTGCCCATCGACAACCGGGAACCAGTGAACTGGTCTGCCTTCCGGCATCCATTCCGCATCGGTACAGTACTTCTTGTACACCATGATGGGACTGTCGTCACACATGAAGAATTTGAAGAGGTGCGGTTTCGACACGCTGACGATGTTTCTGTCGACGTATCGATCCACTACTTCGCGCCAATTGGCAATGTGATCGAGCTCAATGCACTTCGGCGGTATCTTGTGCGACGACTCGATAAGCGAGAACGACTGCTTCATGGTGTAAGCATCGTTGTCCTTCAGTTTTTTCGAGAAAACACTAAAAGTCGCGTCTATGTCGGTATGCGTGTGGCCAACGAGCATGAACCCCACTTTGACATCTTTGAAAATCCCGAATTTCACCAGAAGAGAGGCCAAACACATAAGGTATTGGTTTTTGTTTTCCCTCCAGCAATTGTCCGCCTGGATTCGGAGGTGGCGTGGCCATTTCTGTCCCAACGCCTGCAACTCACATAGAGTCCGCATAACGCACGTCATGGTGTCGTCGGAACTGTGCGCATAGAAAGACAAATACGTGTAAACGTAAATGGACGGTTTCTTGTCGTGAGCTACGACCGCGGTCAGGTTCGTTTTCATCATCATGTCGTGTCGATGATCCTTGGAGTAATTATACATGCCGATGTGAGGAATGGTTGTCTTTTTATGATCCATTCCATCCACTATAAGACAGAGGTATTCCGCGGGGTTCAAAATGGAACGAAGTTTCCAGTCAGCGTAATCCGCACGGTGAGTGACCTGATCTAGTTGGTGTTTGCGGTGCTTTTCATCGAAATCCCTACGGTCACGAAGGAGAAAGACGTTATCTCTGGCCTGTCTAAGGCGGACGCACTCGCCACACTTTGTCAACGAGTTGGACTTGGCAAGGTCCTCCATATGGAGTAGAAGACTTGCTCCGAAACGACAGTCTGACCTGCCGCTTCCAAGTCCACCTTGATGGACTCGTATACAAGGAGCTTCGTGAAATAAGCAGGGAGCCTAACTTTAGGTCTCTGTGAGGTCCCCCTCACAACCATTTCGTTAGGCATAGCATCTCCATGTTCTTCCACGAACCTTGTCACACGAGCCAGCATGCTCACACACTCCGGTCTCGGGTTCAACAATCCCCATCGACCATGCCGTCCACGGATGATCCCGTCTGACTTGCACTTGCTATAACGATGAAATGTGTTTCGACATATCCCTATTATTTTGCACCAACCAACGATGCACACACGGCGTTTGCACTGCACTGGTTGGACTCTTTCCAGACCACCGTTGAGGATAGTGAAATTGTCAAGGGTTTGCATCCACCACTCGATCCTCCTTTCGAGGGGCATTTCATAATAGGCTTCGCGCACCGGTTTGAAATCGTCAATGGTCAAGACCCGAAGACACTTGTTCTTACAACATTTGTGCGTCGGGACGAGCGCAATGTTAGTTTCATTCAATCGACTTTGGGCCCTCTTCGAATGTTCTGACCTTCTAACCGGCCTAATTTTTCGATTATATCTTCTCCTTTCTCCAGGTAGGGGATGAGACAAAACCTGAAGGACTGCTTCGGGAGTTCCAGGATGATTTTTGGTCGGGGACCTATGCGCTGCACCTAGGAATTTCGATATGTCCGTGGGAGCGATTCGCGGCAAATCGGATTGGGAGGATTCCGATGAATTGTAGAAATCTTTGTCCACAAAACCAGTCTGCCAATTTTTCATTGCACCCTTGGCTGTCATCGACGGAGAGCCAGTTTTTCCGGCTTCACATGCAATTCTCTTACCTATCTCGACACTTTCACACGCACGTTCCGTTGCTTGTTCCCTATCAGACCCGTTTCTACCAAATGCACCGCACTGTTCCCGATCAAATCCGTTTCTATCGGGCGTACCTCAGAAGTTTGTATCCACCAGCGACCGACTGTAATCAAATGCTAGGGGTTGGGTAACTTTAATGCTTTCAGACAGTCTACCCGTTGTCCGCACGAGATCTGATCCAGTCGTTTCGGACACCCCACAGAAATCTGTGTCCACGAACATCCATCCACCGGGAAACGTCTCGACATCCCGAATACCCTCACTATCGGGGATTAGCGATGTAGATACGCGCTGACCGTCGGGAACGTCAGTTAAGCGAACAAAACGACGCTGAGCGGACGTCGTAGACAAGCCTGAATGGTTCGTCGGGGTCAACATCGAGAACTCCCTTTTCAAACTGCAATGCTGATTAGAGGAAGCTTCCAGGCTGTTGTCACAAGAACTACGTTCTCGAACATCGTCTTCTCCGTGTTGTCGTGACGGTGGCGGTGGCGTGACAAAGTCGACGGATTGGACACCCATTTGAAGAGACGATTCACACAAAAACTGTACAACAAGAAAATCACGTCAACGTAAGACGAGGTCAGGGAAATAAACAAGAGGGAGTAAACTCGCATTTCTAATATTTATCACAAAACAGTGGAACAACAACATTTGAATCCATATCGTTTTGTCGGACCTTGATTTGAAGCTCAAGTGGTATCTCAAGTCCGACTCCTCTCCCACTCGTTCAGTGTGCAAATGGTTTGGATATGTCCGAGTAAACTCGCACTTTTTCAGGCGAGAGTACAAATGCGAGATGATTCGGACTTATTCATCGTACAGTAAGAAATTAAGTTCCTGGTTGGAACAAGAGCGAATACATTCGCACTTGAAACGGGCATTTCGATTATGAAATTGAGGGTACAAGTGCGAGTCAATTCGGTCTTATCCACTAAACAACAAGAAATTTTGGGGCGTGGTTAGTTTAAGTGCCAATAAATTCGCACTTCAAACGAGCATTTAAATTACGCTGTGCAATAAGAAATTACCTTCGTGGTTGGTTCAGTGGCGAGTTAACTCGCAAATAGAAAATGACTTCATTCTTTTGGGCCGAGAAGAGACACGACTTTACTGCTCGAGTGCTTTGATTTCGAGACTGTGGGTACAAGTGCGAGTTAATTCTGACTTATCGACTAAAGAGTAACAAACTTAGGGGGATGGTTGGTTGAAGAGCGAATAAATTCGCAATTGCAAACGGGCATTTCCATTACGAAACTGGGGGTACAAGTGCGAGTTAATTCTGACGTACCGACTAAATAGTAACAAACTAAGGGGGCTGGTTGGTTCAAGAGCGAATAAATTCGCATTTGCAAACGAGAATTTTCATTACGAAACTGCGGGTACAAGTGCAAGTTGTTTCCCGCTTGTTCTGCGTGTAGTACGAGCCACAAATTGTCGCAAGAGAGAAATGGGGAAAGATGGCGTACTATTCTTTAAGATGGAGAAAGATTGCGAAGCGATGGGCAGACGGCGCACCGATGAAAATAGATGGCGAGAGATGGCGCACCGATTGAGAGAAATGGCGCACCGATTGAGGGAGATGGCGCACCAAGAGAGATGGATGGAGTTACAGTCTTCCCCCAAATACAACGTCCGGTCATTACAGCTGAATTCGGGGCTTCTTTCAATCTAAAAACAACTATAATGCACGTGCGCTGTATATTCTGGGGAAGAAGGTAGATGGCGCAGAAAGGGAAAGAGATCGGGAACTGATTGAGAGATATGTCGCAGCGAGGGAGAGAGATTGCGCACTAATGGAGAAACATGGCGTAGCAATGGAGATAGCAGGCGCAGCTATGGTTAGCGATAGCACAACAATGAAGAAAGATAGCGCACCGAAGGAGAGAGAAGGACATAGATGGCGCGACGATGGAGATAGATTGAGGAATATAGCGCAACGATGACGATAGATGACGAAAGGTCGGGAGATGAAGAAAGGTAGGGAGAGATCGCGCACCGGTAGAGAGAGATGGAGAGAGGACGCGCAACAATGGTTAGCGATGCCGCATCGATGGAGAGAGAAGGCACAACGATGGTTAGCGATAACTCATCGATGGAGATAGATGGGGCGCCGATGGAGACAGTTGGCGCAGCGATGACAAAGATTAGTTATTGCACAACATCAGTTCCATTATCAAAGTGACATTCATAGCGTTGAACCTTCGTTAAGCATACCTGTCACTTGTTTCGTGCGATTCCACAGTGATGGGCGGCTGCACCGATGACGGCCTGAAACAACAATACAATGGCGATGGCGGGATCGCGCAGGAGTGATGGAGAGCCTCTGGCGCAGGGATGGAGGTTGCTCGGTGGTCGAGAGAGATCGCGCAGTGATGGAGTGAGATGGAGAGTGATCACTCAGCGATGGAGGGAGATCGTGTGGCAATGGAGAGAGATCGCGCAGGAGCGATGAAGAGAAATCACGCAGCGATGGAGAAGAGATCGCGAAGGCACCAAGGTGGCCAACAAATCAGCGATAGCGATGGCCAGCGCTGCTATGGGATAACACCGGCCAGGGCTTCGATAGCGATGGCCAGCGCTGCAGTGGAGAGCGATGGCGCACCGACGGAGAGAGATGGCGTGAGGATGAGAAAGATGGTGCAGCGATGGAACGCGTTACAATGGCCAGCGCTGCGATGGCAGCGATAGCGATGGCCAGCGCTGCGATGGGAGCGATGCCGATTGTCAGAGTTGCGATGGTCAGGCGAGCGAGACGGCTGCGATGGGGGATGGCCAACACTCCGGTGAGAGCGATGGCGCACCGATGGAGAGAGATGGAGTACCGATGAGAAAGATGGCGTAGCGATGGAATGCGTTACAATGGCCAGCGCTGCGATGGCAATGATAACGATGACCAGCGCTGCGATGGGAGCGATGACGATTGTCGGCGCTGCGATGGTCAGGCGAGCGCGATATAGCTTTGCGTCGCGATGGCGATGGTGCATGGCGAGCGTTGGCAATAGCGATGAGCTAAGCGCATCGATGGCGATGGTGCATGGCTAAGCGCATCGATATCCAACGTTGTTAACATTTGCAAAATGTCTGAATGACAGCGACACTGGAACTTATAGATTTTCGGTGTTTTTGACCTCGTCGCACAACGAATCACCGCGCGGCGAGAAATAAACCGTCGCCTGGCCTCAACGCGCAACGAACCGCCTCGGCGCACAACGAATCGTCGCGCCTTATAGATTCTTGCGCTTGACCTCGTGCGTCGGATCATGCCGATCGACGGTCCAGATTACAACTGCGAAAATGACCTTGCCTGCCCCTTGTTTTCTGGAACTGTCACATCATTGCACGCCGGAGTTGACGGAGATTTTGGGGCCACTGGCATGTCAGTGGCTCCGTTCATCTGCGCCGTTGGAAATTGTTGATCGACGGCTGACAATTTCTGGTACCTCTTACCCGTTTATAGGCCCTGTCGTTTTATGGGCCCAGGCGTGCGATATGCGAATCGATACGGCCCCACCTTGATCCCGACGCGAGTTCTGCTGCAGGAAAGTATAAAAGGCATTGCAGCCCTTGCGTTATCCCTTTTGTTGTCTCTCCACAGGTCAAGTCGCGCTATCGCTTCCATGCACGTTCTAATATTTTGTCTTCAGCCCCCACCTCCTTCCGCCATAGCCAGTTCGCTCTTCGCTCTTCGCTCCGTCCGCAGTTGCCACATTGTGTTCGGTTCGCTCTCCGTAGCTCGCTCTTCGTGGCTAGATTTCCATTCGCCATAGCCGGTTTGCTCTTCCTAGCTCGATATCCCTCCACCATAGCTGGTTCGGTGGTCGCACATACATATCCGTTCGACGTTGGTCGCTCGCTCAACGCACGACGAAGGTAAGATTCTGTAGCTTGAGTTGTCATGTTCTGTGTCCGATGTCCGAACAGATTCCCAGATGCCCCGGCTCTACCTTCAGGATATAACGCCGCAGTTGCCGCATGTTGAACCCCGAATCAATTCCCGGTTTTGTTGTTTCGCCAACGGACGTGTTCTGATGTCTTTTCTGCACCCTCCACCTTCGTCCGCCATAGCCGATCCGCGTTTTTCAGCTCGATGACCTTTCGCCATATCCATGATAACGTTTGTATAAAGCAGCTCGGTGAACCCCGATTCAATACCTAGTTTCTACACTGAACACCGAATCAATTTTCGATTTTCGCTCACATCTCCCTTATGACGCCGCCGACCTGATATATATATATATATATATATTTATATATATATATATATTTATATATATATATATAATATTATATATATTGATTGCGAGTCAATTCGCAGTTTTCCCAAGGCTAGACACCTATTTCATTAAGGTCAGTTCTTTATTTCCACAACTGCGAGTCAGTTCGCACTTGTAGACACCCATGTCGTGCGTTTTTCAGGTTTTCAGTTACACAACTCCGAGTTAGTTCGCACTTTCCCCAAGATAAGCCGCCTTTTCTTAAACGTGACTTTCAAGTTTCCAGTACTGCGGGTTGCAATTGTTGTCTTGTCTCCAGAACTGCGAGTTAGTTCGCACTTGTCGATACCCTTCGCACTTCTCGATAAACCACATCTTACTCGTTTCGAGGGCAGCGAGTCGGGTCGCAATCTTTCCGAAGAGTTTTTGTCTTCCCTTTGAACTAACTCTGTCAGAGGAGTCTTGTATTTCCTCCACTGTACCCAATTGTTTGGACTTTGTTTGCATTTCAAACACCGATCTCATTCGTCGGTTTCCTTCTTCCCAGAACTGCACGTCGGTCCCCCGTTGTTCAAACCCCTTGTCGACTTCATTCCCAAAACTTCGAGTTAGTTCGCACTTTCCTGAAGATAAATCACCTCTTCCTCGATTCTAGGACTGCTGCCTTTCCTCTCCTTTACCCAATTGTTGTGACTTCGTGTGCATTTCGCACACCCATCTCTTACATCCTTTTCGTCCTCCATTTCGTCAAGTCCGAGTTAGTTCACACTTTGCTTCTGTAGTGTTAGGAAAATCCTGTTGCTTTCCTCCCGGTCATCCGATTTGGTCTGAGGTTGGGCGTATTAGTCAACGGGTAGGAGTATAATGGCATCCGCAAAGAACACATCCACAAGCGCTGGGCCATCTGCCCTCGGGGAGGGACGACCTCTTCAACAATCTACTCCTCCGTATGTCCATACAAGGGAAGCGTAATGGTTTTTGGACTTCGTTGTTCAGGGGAACTATTTTGGGCCAGTTGTTTTCATGCGACCCACTTGCTTTCCGGAGGTTGAGGGAGCGGACGACGTTCTTCCTCTCGGTACCATCGTCTCGTTCGACAAGATTTCTGGAGGTTTGCTCAAGCTGCAGACCAACGTCTTGTATGACAAGTGCAGACTGCCTTTAAGAGATGTTAAGGGTGTGATAGTGGTCATCAAGAGTTTCACGGGGTACGGCTCGAACATGACGCTGTGCCCTCACTTCAAAGGGCTTTACGATGATAAGCGTCTTCCACTGTCAGTGCAATACCTCGGTCTCGCACTGAAGGTGCCGAAAGACCGTCTGGTTCTTCCGCGAGAATATGTTTTTCGGCTTCTGCCAGCCCATGAGGGGTCGTCCGGCTTGGCTCAAGAAACTGCTGAGACACCAGTGGGTCACGGGAGTGCGATTCAAGACGCTGAGGGTCGGGGCAAGGGGCACGCACGCAAAATTCACACGCAGGTCGGCCCGGATGCTCCTGGGAACACGTCAGACTTGCATTCTCCAGATGCAGGGACTCTCCGGGCCGGAACTCTGAAAATCCTCAAGGCGTGCTGCCAGGGCGACACGTATTCTCTTCGAGAAGAGACGGGAAGAGAATCCGGCAGATCGGGGCAAGAGGTTGGAGGGAGTGAGGCTGAAGGGATGGGCGCTGTACGCGAAAGCTCTGGCGGGAAGCCGACTTCTTCGGAGAAGAAGCGCGAGCGACAGAGGATGGTGCAAGAGGAGGTGGCGGAGGAAACCCGCCGCATGAAGAGGATGAAAGGACAATCGGAACCGGTGATGGGCGGGGATGGAGGTGATGTTGGAGAACGTGCCTCGGGAAAGAGGGCGCCTGGGATACGTGGCGGACAAGAACATGGAGTCGGAAAGAGGCCGTCGAAGGAAGAGGGTGCGACGGCAAGTAAAAAAGCGAAGAGGTCCGGCGGTTTGACCATCTGCGAAGGACAAGCCATGGGTGGAGAAGATTCGGCTCATCCAGGCGCTGCGGCCATAGGAGAACCTTCGGGGAAATCCAAAAGGAAAGTGGCAGCTGAAGAAGGCGATGGCCAGAAGAAACCTCGAAGGAGGAAGACTGCTCAGGCGGCGAGCGATGGCGAACGGGCTGCCGGTGGGCAGTACGACGAAGCGACACCGTTCTGGCTCGAATACAAGCGGAACAATGACGGTGATATCGTGGAGAAGGAGCTCCCCGTCCAACTGCTCATCGACCCCAGGAAGGTCTGCGACATCCGGCCTTGGGAAATATATTACAACCACCGCAGTCTCAATCGCGAAAATGTAGACGACATCAAGGTTGTGATGCTAAGTCAGTTCCACGGGGAAAAGGGGAAGATGTGGATGAAAAACCCTTTGGTTTTGGCACCCATCTACAAGCTGGTGACGCATAGGCAGGAGAAAGCCGACAGGGTTCACAAAGACGTATTCAAGCCAGAGGACAAGGACAAGTACTACTATTACCCTGTCAACGGACAACACACCATGGCTGATGTGAAGGAGCTGGTGGATGAGCCAATATTCGAATTGTGGAAGATGCACTCGTGGCCGGCGGGAGTAGTGTGGTTCTCCGACGAAGATTTCGCGAGGTATGTGCAGGTCAGTCTCAATGAGAACACGAGACACAAGATGTCTAAGCAGCGATCATAGAAAGCCTCGTTCGAGGACATGCGGGAGACATGGGAGAATGAAGGAAGGCCGGTGGCCGTTCAAGGGAACCCTTCCGGCAAGGAGGCCGAAAAACAAGCGTTTTTCAAATTCCAAAAGCTGTTTTTGGGAAAGAGTCCGAACAACACTCACTGGACATTGGCAAAAAAAACGCTAAAGCTCGCCGACAAGGTGTATGTCGCTGCCGTTGGCAATGCATTGAGGCAATGGATGCCGCTCGTGACGGCCGGTGATAACGTTTTCCGTAAAGGCATGGAGTTCTACGAGAAATGGGCGGAGGGGAAGTTGTTGGGCGGCGACGGGAAGACGCCATTGTCGAGGCCGGGCAAATACATGCCAGACAAATCTCCGGGTCTTCAAGCAATTCCAGAAATGGGCTCGAAAGGGGCGGCTGGTGAAACGAAGATGAGGTGGCTGGTCCGGGTCCCACCGCCTCCGACCAAAAAGAAAACGCAAGCGGACGACAAGTTTTTCGTGGTCGTGAAGGAGCCGGACATGTTCTGTTGGCAGTGTCTCGCCGACATGACCGATGTCGAGAAACTGTCGATCCTTGACGACATTCTCTCACTAAGGGGAGTGTTCGTGCAACCGAAGGGCAGGCATCAGAAACGTCTACATAAACGTGGAATTAAAGACATGGTCGCGACGAGGAAAGTGGACCACGTGATGCTCCGTATGTTTTATTACATCTTGTTCCTTGAAACGGAGGAGGACGAAGGTGTTAGGCGCTACGGGAGTCTTTTTTTCGGGACCAAGGGGCGGCTTCTGGAGGAGTTTGGGCCGCAAGGCCTCACGAAACAGGTGTGGTTCGAACTGCGAAAGCATTTCCAGAGCGCGGTGGTGTACGTGAACACTTGCAAATGTACTCTTCCGCACGAGAAGGAGTCTCGCGACGACGCGAAGAGATTGTACGAGGATGACAGGTTCCCTACATCTTTCGAAAAGTCTGATCGTTCCATCTTACGACGGATGGAAGAAGAAGTTTGAGACACGATCAGGGTCATCGGGGATATGAGGCACATCAAATGGCACAACCTCAACCGGGTGACCAGCCTTATTCCTTTCACTTGCCCGCCTTCCCAAGCTCACAGTTGTATCACTGAGATTCGTGAGATTGTGCGACATTACGTGTGCAACCTGTACGTCCTCGATTTGTGTGATCCCACACTCCTCGCAGACTGACGAGAAGACGATTTCGCCAACTTGCAAGGCGTTCTCCAAACACTGTCGCCAACGCACTGGCACTTGTGGTCTTTTTCCCCGCTCGTTGGGAGCTCAGTTTCTTGAAAGGCATGGCCAGGCTTAGCGTCCATCACGTCAGGATAGGGAAGTGGGTGCGCCATGCACAAAAGCAGGCCACTGTCCGGGAAGGCAATATACTGGTTGAGGAGTGCGACCGCCTGTACGTGATTTTCAATGGCGAGAACCTGGCAGACAACACAGTCGCAGTCTACCCGGCCAGTAGCCCGACAAAGGCTTCCCATGCTCATGGTCCAAGTCCGGCCAAACACGAGGTGGCGGCCCGCTCGAAAGCTGTATGTTCGTCGGACCCATCAAGACGGGTGGCGTGTTTTGACATGGCGGACGAGGACAGGTTCCCTCGCAGCCTGTGGGGGAGGACGGCGGCGTGACAAGTGCTCATGGACCTGCTTACGGGGACAGGGAGCGGACCCCATCCCATCTACTTGGTCTACTCGAAAACTTTTGCAAAGCTGGGCAAACTGTTTTTTTCTTTGGGAAGGCACATGCGTCTGTCGTGTGGCAGCTCCTGCGCAATGGTCGGAACGTCGTCGTGTTGGAGAACGAGGCGAAGCTGATCGATTACCTTAACGAGCTCGTGAAGACACGCGTGGCAGACACTCGCAATGATTGCACTTTTGTCCCGCCCACCGGCGAACGAAACTAGGATCCCAAACGTGACATGTATTGGAAATTGCCGGGGAACAAAAGGACGGAGGTTTGGGACTTCCTTTTCCAAGCTGGACCGCCTACTCAGACCGACCTCGAATACAGTCGACGGAGAAACCTGGTGTTCGGTGTGCTGAACGGGTACCACGATGCACCCAGGGGGTTTCTCTCGCATTTCCTGAGAAGACTGGAGCACGTTTACTTCTTGATGGCCGAACCGCTCACCCTCGAAAACTACAAACGTGTGTTTCGGCGCGAACCAGTCGACGACCAATCGTCTGATGACGGGGAGGAAGAGAGAGACTATGATTACGAACCTTGTGACAGGCTCCCTCTGGACCATGATACCTATGAGAATGACAGACTCTTCCTCTTCGGCAAGCATCACCGGTTCACGTCGGAGGATGTCTGGGGACACAACGTCGTCTGGCACCCGAGGATATTCCAACCTGCTGTGAAGAATGGGAAGTGGGGCATCTGAACCCTTTTAAACAAACCTACACTTGACGACTTCTTCGGTAAAGCGGCCAATTACCTCCCTGAAAGACATTTTTGGCACACGGCTTTTGAAGGCTTCATGGGCAGGGACATTGACAACCTCACACCTGTAAAACATGGAAAACAACCCACAGCCCACAAACTTTTTTTTAACAAGCGGTAATAGGTACATGAGCCCCTCACATCAATTTGGACGAACACAAAGCTGGCTAGTGACAGATATGCGAGTGCTCCTATTCACAAATTTTACCGTGGTCGGGCGCCCTTTGAGGGAAATCGCCCTCCTGTCGCGCCACTGCGCCAACATCCATGGAGGATTCGACGTTCTGCACTTCGGCCACGACTGTGTCACTAACCAGCTCGGTGGTAGTTGAGTCGCTAGGCAAGTCGATGGCTTCATGAAGTACCATTTCCCGACCGGTATTGAGGACAGATGCTCGATCACCCTGTTCTTCACTGCAACGGGTGGACGGAGAATCATGATCTTTCCGCTCTAGAGCCATCTTGACGCTGACGGCCACCTCACCGCCTTCCACGGAGGATTCGACGTTGTGCACCTTGGCCACGCCTGAGTCGCTAACCAGCTCGGTGGCAACCAAGTCGTTACCCAACTCGATGGCTTCATGAACTACCATTTTCTGACCGGACTGAGGACAGACACTCGATCACCCTGTTCTTCAACGCAACGGGTGGGCGAAGAATCATCATCTTTCTACTGTGGATCCATCTGGATGCCAACCGTCACCTCACCGCCTTCCACCATGGGTTCTCCGCCTTTCTCATCGCCATGAACCCGAGCTTCCACCACCGGTTCTTCTTCGCCTTCATCATCGCCAAGAACGGGAGCCTGCACGAACGTCCACTGACCTCCCTTAACGACACCCTCTCGCGTGGTGGCCACAGCCGAACGGCTGTGCAGAACCTCTTCGGACGTCCCGATCACCAGCACTCTTGCGTCGAGCCCCTTCACGACTTCGCGAGCCGGCCAGTGTTGAGTCTCCTCTTCCCGCTGCAGAGCATGCGTTTCCCTCGGAGCTCCTGCACTCTCGCTGTTAGTCTCCACGGATGCACCCTCCGAAGCATGACATTCACACCCGCTAGCCCCGCTCTCCAACACTTTGCGAGACTGCCAGCGTTGAGTCTCCTCTTCCCGGTATACAGCACACGTTCCCGGAGAGCGCTCCTCTTCCCCATGAGCCGCTGCACTCTTACTGTCAACGTCGACTGGCGCACCCTCCGAAGCATGACGTTCGTACTCACCAACCCCGGTCCCCAATACTCCTGCAGCGGGTCCCTCCAGCAAGTCGCGAGACCGCCAGTCTCAAGTTTCAACATATGAGAACGGAGGTGGGCAGGGGAACCCTGTGCCCAACTGAAGATGCGGGGGGTAGGACGTCACATTTTCTTGGCCCCGCGGAACTGTAGTGTGAGGAGCACTTATGGCGGCAAGCCTCTAGGGCGACGTCAGCAACTCCGAATCTATTCGGAGTTTGTAGCGCTCGCCCGAGTTGAGGGAACTGAAGGTCGCACTTTCGCTCCTTCGCAATGCAGGCATCCTGCCCTCCAGGCAAAACGAAGACGCAATTCCTATCAAGGAATGGTCTCGCCGCTCAGGAGATGCTGCCGTATGCTGCAGACATCAGCCCTCTTTCAGGAGCAAGGTGTTGAGCACAGGAGACCTGTACTGCACACGGCGGGATGGACTCTCCTCGGCATCGGGAAACAAAGTCCTGACAGACAAGTGTGAATCTACTCGCACTTGACAAGACCTCAGGGTGGCCACGTCTCGCATGTCAAAATCTCGACTCCCTACGCAGTGGGGGTCAGTTTCCATATACTGGGGACTCCCAGATCTTCTACGCTTTCCGCACGACCCCTTCCCGCCCGACCCCTTCCCGCCCGACCCCTTTTTGCCCGAGTCCTTTCCGCCCGACCCCTTTCCGTCAGACGCCTTCTCTCCCAACGATGTTTCGCCCGTCCCCTTTCCGGCAAATTGTGAGCCGTCTCCTCCGCCACCTCCGTCGTCTACTTTGTCTCCCCCTCCACCCCTTCCCGGATGCTGACAGACCGACGGAGGTTGCAGCATGCACCAGTCAATGCCACGAGACGGTGCCATTTCGAGTGTGTAGAAAGGCGCTCGAAACTCCAACATGTTGTTGTCGTACAACTCATTTAGCCTTTGTTCTGCATATGCAGCGACGTCCGGATTGCTCCTTTCGGGGTTTATAAGACTCAAATGCTCTGCCAGAGCATCTCTCGCCTTTCCCTTAAATGGACCCGCTCCCAGTCTCTTCATTCCACTCCACTTGCCATCGGCATCGGAATAGATAAGGAGGAAGGTTTGCGGAAACATTTGGTTGCGTCTATTGAAAGCGTTACTGCTTTGTCTTATGGGTCTGATGACGCTGCCAAACGGGGTGTCTTGAAAGACTTGTGTCCTAAGTACATCGCCAAGGACACATTCAACAGTCAGGGATACAACTTTTATGGGAAAAGGGCAGATAGTTCTTAGCCATTTCGCCCCGGTGATTTTGGTCACTCCTCACACTTGTTCGTGGGTGTTTGTGCAGTTGGGGCTACATCATGTTTTCTCGTTCCCTTGCCTATTGAGGAGCTTAGCGCTACGGACTTGAGAATGTTGCAGGACGTCTGCGGAGATTTCAACAACGGCCACGAGGTGGTTTCCTCAGTTCGCAAAGGGGCCAGTTCAGTTCCGTTGAGCAGAAAAAGTCTTCAAACTCTTGTTCAGGGGGAATGGCTTTCCGACGAGGTGGTGGAGTCGTACTTGGCCTTGCTTGCCAACGCTGTGTTGCCTGGGTAACCCTCTCTTTACATTTCCAGTCTCTTTTTCTATACCAAGCTCGTCGGTGGCAGCTATCGACATGATAGGGTTGCGAGATTGACAAAAGATGTGAATATTTTCTCGTACGAGATAGTCTTGATTCCTGTCCATAAAAATCGAGTGCATTCGACCCTATTGTGTGTCCGAGAACAACGGGTGGAGTACTACGACTCCCTCCTACAAGACGATGGCGGTTTTTCTTCCGATGTGATTGCGAACTTCATGCAATACCTCCGTGACGAAGCAGTTTGTCATTATGGTCAAAAAACGAAACTGGATCTCTAGGAGCTCAAGGTGGTTGTTCATGGTGTCCCTCAACAGTCGGACGGGTCGAGCTGCGGTGTTTTCATGCTCGCCTTCGCTTCATTTCTTGCACGCGGCTATTCGCCACCATTTTCGATAGCCCAAAGCGACATTCCAAACATCAGGCTGAGGATTGCGGTGGACATACTCCAAGGCTCTGAATGATAACCCTGTTTTTAAAATTCACGTAGTTTTTTATTCGAAAGGCCATAAGCAGAAGTGCGAATCTATTCTCACTTGGTCTAGCAGTCGGCCGGTTCGAGTTGTGCTATTGTTTTGATGAGGTACCGGATTGCAGTGAACGTTTTGATCAGGTAAACGCTTAGGTGTCGATGTAAATATCCTAGCCTCGTGCTGTAGCAATTTTTTAAGGGTTCTTCATTTCAAGGAACCTGTCATCTTTACTGGTAGGACTTTCGGCAGCGCCGTGCTGCCAGGCAACATAGCTAGAGGGTTGCAGTGGACGCTTACGTGAAGTATAAGCTTAGGTTCCGATGTAAATATCCCAGCCACGTGGTGCAATATCTTTTAAGTAGACGCTTACCTATCGGATGTGAATATCCCAACTTTTTGCTCCCTTTATTTGTTTATGGGTTGTTCTCCTTATGTCCTCAATGACCGCGGCAGCACCGTGTTGCGTTTGTTCGTTTCCATGTTATGCTCTTGTGTTACTCATGTGACGTCTTCGTCCTCTTGTGGATATTGTTTACACTCATGCTCGTGGGGCTCGATACTCTGGTTCATTTAGCAAGATATTGATGAAAGATATCAACGATTTCTTCTTGGTCACCAAATTATTTCGTGCTTATCTCTTTCTTTCGTGAGACTTTGTGATGTGAAAGCCCCCCTCCCCCGCCCCACCCCGACCACCCAACTTTCATATGTTTTGGCTCGCCCCTGTTCTGCGGGTGCCGCCACGTTTTACGGTTCACCCCCTCTGCTTGTCTCCACTGAATGTTGTATGTTGGTTCCATATGACAATTGCGAACTTGTTCTCCATTCGGAAACCAATTATCGCCAAAATGTATGTGTGCTTGAAGTTGTTTTACGGATTCAGCGGTGCACTAAATGATTACCGATTTTGTTAACCCTAGAATATATCTCGTGCTCTCCACGTAATGTTGGCTGTTGTTTCCGTATGGGAAATGCGAACATATTCGCACTTGGGATGCCATACATTTGTGATTAAACCGTGCATGTCCACTAATTTGCCAAAATGATTACTTTTTGTGTTGTCAACGCCAGCTTGTTCATAACTGCAAGCTCGGCAAAATGATCATCAATTGTGCTATTCCCAAAATGTATCTGTGTTTGGCCCATATGTTTCGACGTTGTTTGACACTGAAGGATCGATATTAGGCATTCGCAAAAATGAATGATTTGTCGAAATTGTTACCTTCTGTGTTCTCAC